GAGAGAGAGAGAGAGAGAGAGAGAGAGAGAGAGAGAGAGAGAGAGAGAGAGAGAATAATGCTAAAAGTTTACAATCTATGGGGGCCGCAATACTAGCTATCCAGGGCTGCACACAGCCCAAGGTATGTGAATTGGACATGCCTGCACCAGGCAATGGACAGGACTGAGCATATAGTTTTCCTCTGTATTCTTTTGGACTTCCATGAATAAAGCTAGAAGTGGAGAAGAACTGTACAGATGGCCCTTGACTTATGATCACAATTGAGCCCAAACTTTCTGTTGCTAAGTGAGACATTTGTCAAGTGAGTTTTGCCTCATTTTATGACCTTTCTTGCCACCATTGCTAAGTGACTCACTGCAGTCATTAAGTTAGTAACACCGTTGTTAAATGAATCTGGCTTCCCTATTGACTTTGCTTGTCAGAAGGTCATAACACTGCAACCCTCGTAAATATGAACCAGTTGCCAAGGGTCCATGGGGATGCTGCAAAGGCCGTAACTTTGAAAAATGGTCCTAAGTCACATTTTTCAGTGCCATTGTAACTTTGAATGGTCACTAAATGAACTGTGGTAAGTTGAGCACTACCTGTATTTAGAGCGGCTAGAAGCTGAATATAGCTCTCTACACCATTAAACCATGTCCCAGATCAAATGGGAAGCTGTGCTGATGAGACCTGTTTTATGTTTGCATTCTTTATCCTGTTGGAAATTCTTAGTACAAAACTCTTGATCTGGGAATACCATACGTTTATTTGTTCATTCTGTCTCTACCTTTCTTCTTCTACCTGTTACAGAAACCTCCACCCCATGGCAATGTTCTATTGATAGCAAAACTGCCCAAGAAGGTAAAAACTGAAAACGTCTTGGTTTAATGCTTTTATTAATATTCACTTGATGTGAGATGGATGGCGTGTACACTTAAATAAAATAAATATAACATTTTTCAAATTAACTCAAATAAACATATGCTAGGGGTATTAACTATATTCTTTATGAATGTAGAACAAACTTGTTCGCAGCATTAGTCCATGCTTTAAAGTTTCTATCTCCGCAATTGTGTGAAACAATTAAAAATGTGATCTAGCCTTTAAATGTGACCTGTTCCCAAACTGGAATTCTCCAGAAGCATTGCTTATGCAACCCCAGGAATTTATGGACAGGACAGCATCCTGGAATTAATGGCTCAAAATATCTAGAGGACATCAGTCTTAGACAAATGGAAATAATATGAATATTTAAAAATTAACCAAGCACATTTTTAGTGAGGGCAAATATATGGAGCATTATGGGATTATGCATCCTTACCTCACCACATTTCTCATGAGGAGAAAGAACGCATCTCTTGCTGAGGTGCAGAAGTTTTTACCATAGATTGCAATCTGCAGAATAGTAATAGCTGTTAACATATATTAAAGTCGTCTTACATCTACTATGGACTAGATATTAAAGTATCTTTTAGTAGGCAGAAAAATATATATAAACATTTCAATCCAGAAATAGTTTAAATACTAGGGTTTAAACCATTATATTAAAAAATTGGAAAACTGGATTTGCCACACCAATTATAGTTTGCTAGACTTTGGCTAGAAGTGTACTGGAAAAGGAGAGAGTGAAAAAGAAAACATACCATGATGTAAGCATTCCTGTTTATAAATTTAAGGAATTTTTCCAAGCACCAAAAACAGCATTTGAGGCAGCAAAGCAAGAACTTAGCAAATGCATTTTGTGAGCCTGCATGAAAGAGAGAAAACATTTCTTAACAATTACAAAATGCCAGGATGATGCCATGTAGAAGATTTTATACTGTGCATGAGAATTGGAGATGAAAAATACCAAGGGTTCAATAAAGCTTTAAATATTTTGTCCCATTGCTTAAACAAACTTGGGAAGCAGAATCTTCCCAATTATGGCTTGCTGTAAAGCACAATTTCCCAAAGTCCCTTGCATGGAAACACTGGAGAAAGATATATAAGCCAATCATGGTTTAGGCCCCTTATGAGTATAAATGCTTCCTGTTTCTGTTTCTTATGAATGAGGAGGCATACTAGTGTTCACAATCTGAAAAAGCAAAGTCTTATTCCATGAAACTCACCCTTAAGTTTGTGATCAAGATATTCCAGGATTACTCTAATTACTTGAACCACTGCAAGAATTAAGGAGCCAAACGCTAAAGAACCTGTATGATACCTAAAGGGGGAAAAAAAAATCAAATGTTATTCTTCAAGAAGAAGTGTGTTACTACACATTGTACAGTTACAAAAAGGGTTAATATGGATAACAATTCTACTTCCGCCGAGCCTTGAAAACCCATCTATTCCATGCGGCCGGCCTGGCGTAGTTTTGATTGGGCTTTGCTAGGGGTTTTATATGGGGTATTTTAGAGCAGGCTTTTTATTCAATATTTATTGTGATTTTTATTATTGCCTGTTCACCGCCCTGAGTCCCGTAAGGGAGATAGGGCGGTATATAAATTTAAATAATAAAT